CCATCAGTGAATTGTTCTTGTTCATCTGCACTTTCCCCCTAAGATGGTTTTTTAACACAAACCGCTTCCTGGTAAAAAGGTAGTTTGGTTTCAGGCAGAAACATGGTCAATTAAACAGAGAATTTACTCTGAGAAATCCAACAAGAACAATCACTGACGAGCTAGAGGGGTTTTTTGCAAACTCGAGGAGAGAAGGCTGTTTTGAGGGTGAGGGTGAAGAGAGTAACTGCTCAGAGGGTATCTGAGAGTAAAAAATGTAATGAAGTTCAGAGGGATTATCCAGATGTTTAACCTAAGACATTGTTTGTTTTTCCCCCGAGTTCCAAGAGGGCCACACAGGTTAACAACTTTCATTAACAGTTTAAATGTGGAAAAGCCTCACTGAAGGTCGTTTCCTCTTAGATGTATATTCTCTGTAATCCGATGAGGGTGGCCCAAGGGCAGGGGGAGCTCAGAATATCTTGAAAAGCAAAACAAGTCCACAGTACCAAAATTTTGCTGATCATTGAATTTAGTATACTTTATCTTTAAACTACATAATCTTCCCCAAGCCTCTCTATGAAGCCTCTCGAATTCCTTAACATAAAACATTTATTACTTGGCAGTGGCCAATTTTCCTTTATACTATATTCTTCTTGCAGTGCCTTCTATAATTTATTTGTCACCATTTAGCTCCTCTATGCTTATAGGCTGGGAGCAAGAGTGTTTTCAGTAGCATGTCTTTTAGTATGTGGGATAAAATAGAAGAGAATTGTATCTCACACTAGTACTAGCAAAGGCTACAGTAACAGATGATGGTGCGGCTGATCCAATTTGTTGCTAGGTTCAACATGTTGCTATTAAAACTGCTGTGGTAACAGGAGGAAGGGCAGGCTATGGTAAATTTTACTGGCTTAAGAGAGTTTGTGCAGCAGTGACTATATAGTGATAGGAATTTCCTCTCTAACAGACATGAGGGGGCTTCAAAAAGTTTATGGAAAAACAGTATGAAAAGATTGTAGAATTCTTC